TACACAGTACACACTCATATTATGTAAACAAAAACTTTATTTTGGATGTGATTAATATATATATGTATATATATATATATATATATAGTATATATTTGTATATTATATACAGGTAAATAGAAAGTTTACAGAATTTATTTGAAATGGAAATTTGTTTTTAAAATGATTTATGTCTTTGCTGTCATTTTTGTTCTATTTAATGAATCTTTGCTGAATAAAAGTATTTTTTTAATTCAAAATAATAATATTGAAAAAATCTTACTGACCCCAGACGTTTTAATAGAAATGTATATCTGTGTGTATGTATATGTGACCCTGGACCACAAAACCAGTCATAAGGGTCAATTTTTCGAGTATATATACATAATAAATATACACAGTACACACTCATATTATGTAAACAAAAACTTTATTTTGGATGTGATTAATATATATATGTATATATATATATATATATATAGTATATATTTGTATATTATATACAGGTAAATAGAAAGTTTACAGAATTTATTTGAAATGGAAATTTGTTTTTAAAATGATTTATGTCTTTGCTGTCATTTTTGTTCTATTTAATGAATCTTTGCTGAATAAAAGTATTTTTTTAATTCAAAATAATAATATTGAAAAAATCTTACTGACCCCAGACGTTTTAATAGAAATGTATATCTGTGTGTATGTATATGTGACCCTGGACCACAAAACCAGTCATAAGGGTCAATTTTTCGAGCTTTTGATATACGTACTTACGGTAGGAAATTGACAAAATAGCTTTATGGAACATGATCTTTACTTAATATCCTAATGATTTTTGTCATAAAAGAAAAATGTATAATTTTGACCCATACAATGTATTGTTGGCTATTGCTACAAATATACCCCAGCGACTTAAGACTGGTTTTGTGCTCCAGGGTCATATAGGTGTTTGTGTGTGTTCTAGCTGCTTTAGACGATGTGTGTGAATTGGAGGCTGCGCTTCGTCCTGGTCTGGAAGAGATTGAGAACTATCAGAAACTCCTGGAGCTTCAGAAGGATTTGATTGGTGTTGAGCATCTGGCCGTGGCTGGATGTCAGCTCATCAGACTGGGCTGCCTCAGCAAACTCTCTGGGAAAGGCCTTCAACAGCGCATGTTCTTCCTGGTGAGATTTCAGCACACACATCTATGTTTCATATGATATAGGGACCTATTGTTCTTAAAGGATAGATCAAATTACAATCATGTCATCATTTACTCCCTTCATGTTGTTCCAAACCTGTATGAGTGTCTTTCTTCTGTTGAGCACAAAAGAAGATATTTGGAAGAATGCTTGTAATTCTGAAAATTCTAATAATTATATAACTAACTCAAGGCCTAATACTAAACTCTCTTCATATTTTTACACATGAAATGAACAGATTTCTGATGAACTCTTTCTTTCTTTTTTTTATGTGGAGCCAGTTCAATGACGTTCTGTTGTACAGCACTCGAGGGATAACATCAGCCAATCAGTTTACAGTGCACAGACAACTTACTCTGCACGGCATGACAGTAAGAAAACTCATCAGCCTTTATGCAGATGTTATTGATTGGCATGAGAATCCACCCATGAGAAATCTCTGTGTGTGTGTATGTGTTCAGATCCGGGAGAGTGAGGACGAGTGGGGCGTCCCGCACTCCTTCACACTGATGGTACAGCAGCAGTCACTGGTGGTCGCCGCATGGTAATCATTCGCAATATCTGTGTGTCATCAGCCAGACAGCAAGTACAGCAATAGAGACTGAGCAAGTCAACAGTGCATTCATTTTAACTCTGCCCATTGTTTACACACAGCACATTTTCAATTGATCGGTCCAGTACAGCTTTTTCAGTGGATGCAAGAGTGTTAGAGGTGCATATATGATGGTAGCCATTGACTTCCATAGTATTGCTTTCTATACTGTGGAAGTCAGTGGTTACCAGCAACTGTTTGGTTACCAGCATTCTTCCAAATATCTTCTTTTAAAGAATGCTTGTAATTCTGAAAATTCTAATAATTATATAACTAACTCAAGGCCTAATACTAAACTCTCTTCATATTTTTACACATGAAATGAACAGATTTCTGATGAACTCTTTCTTTCTTTTTTTTATGTGGAGCCAGTTCAATGACGTTCTGTTGTACAGCACTCGAGGGATAACATCAGCCAATCAGTTTACAGTGCACAGACAACTTACTCTGCACGGCATGACAGTAAGAAAACTCATCAGCCTTTATGCAGATGTTATTGATTGGCATGAGAATCCACCCATGAGAAATCTCTGTGTGTGTGTATGTGTTCAGATCCGGGAGAGTGAGGACGAGTGGGGCGTCCCGCACTCCTTCACACTGATGGTACAGCAGCAGTCACTGGTGGTCGCCGCATGGTAATCATTCGCAATATCTGTGTGTCATCAGCCAGACAGCAAGTACAGCAATAGAGACTGAGCAAGTCAACAGTGCATTCATTTTAACTCTGCCCATTGTTTACACACAGCACATTTTCAATTGATCGGTCCAGTACAGCTTTTTCAGTGGATGCAAGAGTGTTAGAGGTGCATATATGATGGATGCCTCAAAAACATTCAGGTCTCTTGTCTCTTGCAGTTCAGAGTCAGAAATGGAGAAATGGATGGAGGATTTAAAGATGGCGGTTGACATGGCTGAAGAGTGTAATGGACTGACCACTGACCTGCTGTCTGCTAGCAAGGATGTCAGTAAGTGACACATGATCATTTGTTACAAAATACAGTTACCATAGCATTCAAATAGACCCTGTTGGCTTTCTTAGTACATCTTTATCAAAATATAATATTTCGCTCCACCTCTAAAATGACTTTCCTTTCTGGCAATTTGTCATGATCCAATTTTCACAGAGTAAAATTAAGTCCTGCCATGCATTTTTTTGCTTATTAAATATCAAATTTCGCTTTGAAATAAGTACATTATAAAAGTAAAATGAGTTGCTGTTTCATGAATCTATATTTGTTTTATGATATATATTGTCACATTTTAGAAGTACATTTTAGCATATTTTAAAAAGAGTTCCCTTTCAGTCGGTCACTCTCGACGTCACGTCGGATGACCGACGAATTGGGATCTCGCTTAGAGAGACCAATCTACTTCGAGTGTAAACTAAATGAGCCAATGCACATTGGCATGCGATTATTGCATCCAGCTGCTGCTGATCAGCAGATGCCCCTGTCTTGCGTGCAGAGATCGCAGTCCTACTGGCAAAGGACGCGATAGAGCCGGTTCCTCCAGCCGATATCAGGTCGGGGTTTTACAGCCCTTACTTCATTGTACCCAAGAAAGGCGGTGGGTTGAGACCGATCTTGGATCCCAAGATTGGTTCGCAGCGATCGACCTGAAGGACGCATACTTCCATGTTTCGATCCTTCCGCGCCACAGGCCATTCCTGCGGTTTGCGTTCGAGGGACGGGCATACCAGTACAAGGTCCTACCTTTCAGGCTGTCCCTGTCGCCCCGTGTCTTCACGAAAGTTACGGAGGTGGCAATAATGTACTTAAAATAATATACTTAAAGGGATAGTTCACCCCAAAATGAAAATTCTGTCATTAATTACTCACCCTCATGTCGTTCCAAACCCGTAAGACCTTCGTTCATCTTCGGAACACAAATTAAGATATTTTTGATGAATTCAGAGAGCTCTCTGACCCTGCATAGACAGCAACGCAACTGTAATGTTCCCAGGCTCAGAACTGTAGTAAGGACATCGATAAAACAGTCCACGTGACGTCAGTGGCTCAACTTCAGTTTTGCAAAGCTATGAGAATATTTTCTGTGTGCAAAGAAAACAAAAATAACGACTTTATTCAACAATTCTTCTCCCCGAGTCACTGTCTTCCGCCATTTTGGAGAGTATCACAACGCATACACACGTTTTACCCTAAGCGTAAACAACGCTGATTACGTTCTGGGGTAATCTCCAAAATGGCGGAAGACGTAACTCAGGGGAGAAGAATTGTTAAATAAATTATGTTATTATTGTTTTCTTTGTGCACAAAAAGTATTCTCATAGCTTCGCAAAACTGAAGTTGAGCCACTGATGTCACATGGACTGTTTTATCGATGTCCTTACTATGTTTCTGGACCTGGGAACATTACAGTTGCGTTGCTGTCTATGGAGGGTCAGAGAGCTCTCACATTTCATCAAAAATATCTTATTTTGTCTTCTGAAGATGAATGAAGGTCTTACAGGTTTGGAACGACATGAGGGTGAGTAATTAAATGACAGAATTTTCATTTCTGGGTGAACTATCCCTTTAAGTGAATGCAGTTTTTAAGGACACTTAATTGCATGTTAATTATGAAAATGTGTTCGTTTTGATTTATATTAAATGCAATTAGCTGAACTTTTCAGTGCTTTTATGACCCACTTAAGTTTTGTGTAATTCCATTATTACTTTTATTACTGACAAGAATTTTTGGTAAAATAATATATACATTTGAAACTTCTATGTGTTACGGGGCTGACAAGACGTGAGACGTGCGGATCCATGTGCAAGCTTTTATTTAAAGCAGAAGAGGTCAAACACAGGCAGGGTCGAACAATGGCAAACAAGTATATGGCGGGCAAGACGCAAGAATAATCCTAGGGCTAGCGTAGGTCAACGATCGGTGAACAGAATCAAAAGGGCGAGACTAGAGGGATAAATCCAGGAAAACAGGCAAAGATCAGAAACCAAGAAAACAGACAGGGCAAGACTAGGCTAGGAATGGGAAACTAACGAGGGCTCTGTAAAGTAGCTATCACTGCAGGCGATAAGCGCATACAATACTTGGCAGTTTGATAGGAGTCAGATTGAGTGTTAAATAGTGAGTGAGTGATATGATACAGCTGTGTGCAATCAGTGCTGTGTGCAATCAGTGTAATAAATGATGGGATATGTAGTCCGGGGTGATATGCAACAGTGTGTAGAGCAAGAGTCAATGAAATGGAAATGGTGACCTCTGATGGCTAGCAGACGGAAGTTCATGGACCGGATACGTAACAGAGCCCCCCCCCCAAGGAGCGGGTTCCAGACGCTCCAAACACTTTACGATTCCGGAGGGCGGTGGAGTGGAGGCGGAACAGGGGGAGGGATGGAGGGCCAGGTCCACATGGAAGTGGAGAGACCGGGAACTGAGGCAGAACCAGCGGAGCAGAGAGCCAGGGCGGAGCCGGCAGTACAGGTGGAGCTGAAGACCACCAGAGCAGGACAGAAGACCACCACGGAGGAGCAGAGGACCACCAGAGCCAGACAGCAGACCACCAACTGGACTCAGGAGGATCAATGATGACTTGACTGGACTCAAGATGGGCAGCTGTGACATAACGGGGTGCTGTTGTGTCCGCCATCTTGTGAGCGTGCTCCGCTGTCGCCGCCATTTTGTGAGCGTGCTCTAGTGTGGCCGCCATTTTGCGAATGGGCTCCGCTGTCGCCGCCATCATGCGAGCGCGCTCTGGTGCGGCCGCCATTTCACGAGCGGGTTGCATCACCGGAGTAGCGATCAGTGAACTTGAATATCCCGGAGCTTGTGGTTGACTAAACTCAGCAGCCACTATTACAGGCACAGCTGCGGTATCACGTTCTTCCTTCACGATACCCACAGTACACAAAGAGCCAACAGTCAATAAAGCATAATCCATAAACTGACATAGTGACGAA